CCTCATTTAAATGTGTGTGTCTATTTCACAAAAACCTGAAGCATTATTTTCAATATTTTATGCTTACGGTATCGTGGTTGTTTTCGCTGGTTGTCATTGACATAAGCAGTAATAGAGTTCCGGATTCGGGAGGGAGCGAATGTTAAAAATTTTTCTCAAAGTGGAAGTTTTGACAACCAAAATCCGCCATTACCGCCATGTTTTTGACCACGAGGCCCAGGCCCCTTTGCCCCTCCAGGTCTTATAGAGCTCAATGGTTTGCACTCCATTTCTCTTCCATTTGACTTGGTGCAAGCAAAATGGTAGTTCAGTATAATGAGCAAATTTGCGCAAATTTAAGGGAGACTGGCAACCGGCAAATACTTCATTGCTATCTTACAATTGGTTCATTTGAATTTTTGTTTTATTGTGATTGGTTTGACGGATTTCGACTGATAGCCAACTGAACTAACATAGTCAAGCTCACTGTCTGAATTGAATGTTTGATCGTTTCATAGCAATTTTTATAAGCATGATAGAAACTAAACTACAATCAGATGGATTTTATGGAAATCTTTTACAAATTCATATATTGACATGAATGAAGCTGTCCAAACTGTGAATTTTTTTCAAGAGGGTGAAAAATTTATGGATAAATTGTAAATGCTTGGCGAAGACGATCTCGCGAGCGATATTTCAGTCATTGATGTTCAAAAGAAAGCCAACATTGTTTTGAGTTTTATCAGCAGAAATTTACATCCAAAATCGTAAGTAAAGGACAAGTGAAGTGTATGCATGAATGTAATATATCAAAGTCAATTTATGCGAGTATGTGATGCGATTTATGTCAATATGGCGTATGGTAAGCAGATTGATGCTTCTAAAATTGTTGTTGCCAAAGGGTTTTAGCTATAATTTCTTTAGTGCTTGGGGAATCGCGGCCGTTATATGGCAGCAAAATCCTACATTCCTGCAAATATATTTCAATGGACAAAAAATCTGTAGCCATAAGGCGCCATACTATTATTTACTTTATCATAAGCAAATGTTTGGGGCTTTTCAGTTTATGATCATTGATCATTCAATCATTGGACAGTTATACTACATATTGTTTAAGATTTGAGAAAACTAACATTGATTAAATGAGAAGCTGTTTACTATAACCTGTGATTTTGAGTCTTCTGATCCATGAAGCTTTTTATTTTGACAATTTGACTGGAATGGTATTAAACCTGAGTATTTCACATACATGAAATGTTGTCCCATGTCACATATTGTCCCCTTTTCAAACTGAACACCTCATGTAGAGATGTAAAGGTGTGTTAATCTATGGCTCATACCATAAAATCCAAAGTTTGCCATAAAATCCAAAGGGCTATTGATGTATGAAAAGCATTTTTTATAGAGTATAAATGTCTTCCTATGTATGCAGATAAACCTTGAAATTTGGCAAAACAGCAAAGTATTTTCATGATCACTATGTAATTTTTCTGATGATCATTATAATTTCTAAACTAAATTATTTCAGATCAAACGAGCTTTGATCATATCAAAAGATATTTATCATAACCAGTAAGCATGACACATGAACCAAATATAACATTCATGTAATTATATAATTAAAGACATGTTGGTTACATTCTGTTTGTATTTGCAAATACAATGCTACTAGTGATTGCTATATAGCACACCTTGCATATACTTACAGAAGATAATAGTCTAGTGAAATGCCTAATAAACATTTATGACATTAAGCTGTCTTAACTGCAAATTTTTACTCTGATAATTTTTGCTTAATCTTTGGCAGAAAAATTTTGAGTTTTTTCTCAAAAAGTGAATTTGCTGACACTGATGTGGAGATGGGTAAAGGGTTACAATAAACTTGCATGGTTTGAAGTCTGAGCTTTTCTATATCTATGAACTGTCACTTGTAGTACCAAATTTCTAACTTAACTCGTTACATAGAGGTTTGAATGGGGGTCTCTAGGGGGGTCTATGCCTGACAACTTGGTAGAAATTTTTAAAGACTGTATCTGTTTTGAATAGCATTATTGTGAAATAAATTTTACGTTCCTAGACATGCTAATGAGCCATATATTTGGCATGATAATGAGCCTAAATATTTGGCAAAACATTCAAGTATTGTTCACTTTTTTTGAAAAAAGTAAGCAAAATGTGTTGTATTTACGCAAAACCGATGCCCACAAAATACATTTTGTATTGCTCTAAAACGCTGAAAATGGCATTTTCAAGGTTCTGAAATTCAAAATTTCTCAGGGAGAATGCCTCAGACCACCCCAGGTGCGGATCGCCCCGACGTTTTATGACTGATGTTTGAAAATCCTAGATCCGCCACTGTCCAAACGCAGTTTGAAAGAGATTTGACTGGTCTCCAATCCATGTGGGCTTGGTAGCTGAACAGGTTGAGCGGCGGACTAGTATCCTGAAAGTGCGAGTTCAAAGTTCGTCCAAGTCACATGTTTTTCATGTGCATATTAAAACCGTGTTAGGATTAATATATTATATGTATTCTCTGATGATGGCTTTGGAATAAAGGCGAAACACGGTGCCATCCAGTAAACTACTTTTGTGGCGAGAATCTCTCGTCCATACGCAGTTTTAAAAGATTTGACCCGTGTTCAATCCCTGTGGGCTTGGTAGCTCAACAGGTAGAGCGGCAGACTAGTATCCTGAAGGTGCGAGTTCAAATCTCGTCCAAGTCACATGTTTTTCATGTTCATATTAAAACTGTGTTAGGATTAATATATTATATGTATTCTCTGATGATGGCTTTGGAATAAAGTCGAAACACGGTGCCATCCAGTAAACTACTATATAGTGGCGAGAATCTCTCGTCCATACGCAGTTTTAAGAAATTTGACTCGTCTCCAATCCCTGTGGGCTTGGTAGCTCAACAGGTAGAGCGGCACACCAGTATCCGAAGGTGCGAGTTCAAATCTCGTCCAAGTCACATGTTTTTCATGTGCATATTACTTTAAATTACTTTAAATTACTAGAAATTACTTTAAGTAACCTTTTTGTGATGTTCTGAAGTGCAACTGCATCAAATTCTTGTAAAGTTGTAGCACATTTTGATTTTGTTGTATTGATATATGAATTGGGCAAAATGCAAATAATCATCAAAACACTTATGCTTCCAATGGTGTTTATAATTCATTTGTAGTTTTAATACTTCTACCTTTCTTTTTCACTTTGTTTTGTTTTTCCTATATTTGCAATAAAAGTGCACTATAATTTGAATGATTAACACAGTTTTCACCTCAATAATAAATTTCATAAGCAGTTGGTAGTGCATTTTGTTCTCTGAGTATCCACATCTGGTGTTTTGTTCATATAAGAATGATGAAGTGCAAGTAGATATGTCATAGCAAGGCAATAAAACCAAATGAATTACATACCTATACTGTACTTTTATGCTAGAAGCTTCAAAGCTTTTTAGAAATTTGAAAGTTATTGTATTATATTACCTCTATATCATCAATCTCATGATAAGAAATAAGAAGCAAAATTTGTAGAAAAGCTTTGAAAAGTGAAAAACTTTTCTTTAAAAAAGCAGCAATAATGCATATGATAAATCTCCATTCTGTACTCTAATAGGTAAATAAGCTCAAATTTTTCTTAAAGAAATATAAGAAATATATAAGAAATATACAGTACAGTAACTTTAAAGGTTTCATCACTGAATCTTTAATGCTTCAGTATAGTGCATTAGATATTAGTAACATTCAAACAACACTCAACTAAAATATTTTGGTAAAGATATGACATGATTTAAACATTAAGTTGCATAAAACCCAATGGCTTATACAGTTTGAAGCTTCACATCTGCATCGAGTCATCATCAATCTCAGTACAAATGTTTACATTGACACAAACTTTATGGCCTTCCCATTTTATATGTTTGTGAATTGACAATTCATTAAGCATCAAAACACACACAACCTTGCCATCTTTCTTTGGATCTTGAACTTTAACTTCAAAGCATTCAAGGCATCCTTAGTGAATCCATTGTCTCCATCCATAGAATTTGACCACGATCAAATTAAATAACTCTGGATAGGGCAGACAATAAATCAATTATCTTTACAGCATTATCATTTTTTAAGACTCTGCCTGGTCAATAATATCTTCCAGTCATCTTTGCTCCTTGATCTTCCCTGCATGTTGTCAGCAAATAGAACATAACAAGCTCTGCTCCAAATCATGGGTACCGTTGGGGCTGATCATTTCTTTTTGATACTTACTCACAGAGCAAAATGTGTGCAGGGTCTTTTTTGCTTTAGGGAAACTATTTTGCAAATAAATGGGTAAATTTACGATTTCATGCATTAACAAATGACAGAAAAGTATGCAGAATTTTATAAACAAAAACAGGAAAACATCAGTATATTTGGCGTTCAAGTCAGTCTTAAAAATACGATCTTTAATATGTATTTTATGGCTTTTCAAGTGCATGTATAATTGCTTTTCAATCGTTGACGGACTAACAAAACAAACAACTACCTCACCTGTGAGAAGCGATATGCTCCTTTTTGTGGAAACTACGACATCCAACAATTGAACGATTGAAGTGTTGGCATTATAAAGAAATGCCAAAAGAATCGTCACAGAATATGGAACTAACGTTATCCATATTCTGTGATATCGTGTTTGTTTTGAAAAATTCTTTATAATTTACTATAGACACCAGGGGAGGTCGAGAATATTATTTTCTGCAAAGCGATCATTTCAGCGGAAATACGTCCTTTGGCCGCCATTTTTTTGGCATCCTCGCCCCAGTAAAGTTAGCCGCTCTAGTTATTATAGAACTCAATGGTCATTTCTAGATATCAATTTTCTTATTCGTCAACGTTCAATCAATAATAAAAAAATATTTATTGTAAATTTTATTATAGCAAATGAACGTGACGCCAAGAGTTTGTAAATCATATGCAAATTTTCGTCGTGGTATAGTGAACTATCTATCTCGACCTTATTTAAACCTGAACATTTTTACGAAGATGGTTCGAAGTTCTCTGCAATCTCTCACCAGTTTAAAGAAGCAAAAGAAAAGTAGGATCTTTAACTCAAGATCCAGGGAATGAATTGAAGTTAAAGATGTACGCCCTTTTAAGCAGGTATTTTACGATTCATAAAGATATTGTATCCGGTTTTACATAAAGCTTGAACATTAGTTGTTGTATCTCCTAACTACAAACTCTTCAATTAAATGGTGACTTTAAATTTTAAGCACAATGTGCATCATTGCATTTGAATCACATTTTGCAAAGGCACAGTGAATTTTTTCAATTATAACTGTTCACAGTCCCACCATACAATACAATCAAAGTTAAAAATAAGACGAACCCAAATAACAATATACATTTCCAGGGTTCTTTAGGCAATGTAATACACCAAAGCCTGGGACTTTGGACTTTGTTGGAAAGGCAAAATGGAATGCATGGAACGATTTGGGTGATTTATCACAGGTGAATATTTAGTTTAAGAAAGGCTGCACTTATCTTATAATGAACATTCAATATGTATCTAGTTTCAAACATCACCAAAGGACTGTATCTTTCAACAATTTTATTGAACACTCTCACAAGTCTTACTAAAATCTATCGTCATCAAATTATTTACAGTAAAAAAGTTGTTTTGTGCAAAGTTGACAGCACACCGTTAATTAAGAACTGAGTGTGTGGGTCTTCTGGAAATTATGAGTACCTATCGGAACATACAGCTAAAATATCTGCATGTAAATCTGTGCTTTTCAATGGTTTTAATATACATAGTTTCTCCAAGCCATGCAATCTGAATTATATCCCCTATTTGTATTTACGAAGAATTCCTTAACATTTAGGAGAGTAAAATCTTGTACTTAACATTCTTAGTATTGGTGATGCAGGAAAAAAATGCAAATGTACCATTGATTCTCTATCAAATACCTATGTACTTTTGAAAAAAACTTCTATTGCATGTAATGAATACTTTTAAATTGAACTTTTCTTTTAGGTAGATGCACAAAAACAGTATATAGCACTTGTGGAATCTTTACTAGGTGATTTTGAATTTTGCTGTGTATTATAAACACAAAGCTTTTCTGCAAAATATTCTGTATGAACATCATTTCCCTGTTGTGTACATGTCCTTCTCAACATTGAACTATAGAACAGATTTTTTGACTAACAATGTTTTTAACATTACAGGAGTAAGTTTGTTATATGTCTACAGTTTTTTGTTTTTTAAACCTGTCTTAGTTAACTTTAATCGCGATTTTGATTAAAAAAGAAAAATTAAAATTTAATTAAAATTATAAACTACAACATACAAATATAAATGTCAAAACTAAATCAAAGATAACTAACATCAATGTTTAAAATATCCATGATAAAGGGACAGTCAAGTGTAAAGACAACTTTCCCAATAACCTAGGTCAATATTTAAAGTATGTTCGCGAGTTGAGGCAGATTGACTTCCTCGTATCGCAGTAATTGCTGACCTAATCAGTGCGAAAGACAGTTTACAACGCATCCACGCTAGCCTGATGCCATATTGCAGCTTTCTTTGTGCCAGCAGATCAGCTAGCCGCTTATAAGCAATTGCCGTCTCTTTCCCCATACCACCTGATGTTGAAAAAACCAGTGGTGTAAAAGCAGCATATTCAATCTCTCTTACTCGATCACCATATTCCCTTTATATGACTACAGTTATTAAAGTTAAATATTGTTAAAAGGTTTGACATGCAAGTGAAACACCTTAGTCATTCATTAAGGAGATGAAACATCTTTGAACTCAATCTCTTACACTTTTGGGCTGTTTAGTCCAAAACAGTTATTGCAAATTTATTCAATATTTCTTAAATGTAACTTCAGGACAAAAATCCAAGACCAACAGCCAACCCAACAAAGACATTAATACATCAAATGAGTTTGAAAATATTCTTGTCTCTACTGATGGCGGTTTGAGGACAATCACAATGAACAGGCCTGATAAATACAATGCTTTGACCCCAAAGGTTTGTTGTTAACTACTAGAAAATCATGCTCCAACAATAGACCACCTCTTCTAACCATAACCAGCCATTTATTCAATGGTTTATCTCTAACAATTACCAGTCATACCCATTCAATAGACTACCTCTTCTAACCATGACCAGCCATTTATTCAAAGGTTTATCAAGATTTTCTTCGACATTTCCACCAGCTGCTGGTTCAGTTCATTAAAAGTTCCGTTTATTCAAAACCTTTTGAAATATGCAACAAAGGACAAATACTCTGCAACAAGGGGCCGCATCTCTCAAGAAGCCGCAAGTCTCTCATCAATTTTCATTCAATTGCTTCAAGATAGTACAATCATTGCGATTATTTAAGCCTCAATAAATAGATTAAAAGAAGAAATTCTCGTTGTAGTTTTGTCAACGCCACTAACGAAGAATAATGTTTACGAAGCTGAAAGCCACATGTTGTATGTACTTTGCTCATTATCACTTATTAACGGAAAGCTAAGCTGTTATGAATAGCGCAACTTACAAGATGCTTTATAATAACGAGAAAAATATAAATTTTGGAACCGAAACTGAATGTGATCTTGAGAAACGTGTGAAGATGTTTATAGATAGTCACAAAGATTTCATGCGGTCTTCATGGCTTAAGAACATAATCTAAAACCGCTTGCTGTTCGCACACCTTTTACCTTTTTTTTAATAGAATGTTGAGCAGTAAAAGAAAATTTATGGTTTACTGATTGAGAAAGAAGATCTGTAAGGCTACTAATAACTTGCGATTTCTCTTGCATAAAAAGGAATGAACAACTATAATTTTAAAAGTATAGTTTTTCACAGACGGTTTTTTTATTGTGAAATATTCTTTCTAATATGAAAAGTTGTCCATCTACAACAAAATTCGCGGTAAAAGAGATTAACCACATATCAATGCTTTATAAAAAGTCAACTAGGGAGATTAGAGAAAGCTGTTAAGGCGTGGCACGGATCGAAAATTTAAGATTTTTTTTATGAATTTAAACTAGTGTAATGTGTATGAATGAATTTGATTGGTTTTACAATAAAATTTAAATTGACGTTGCATAATTTATTATTCGGTTTTCCTTTCAATATGCTTTTGAATATTGAGCGTCAATTTTTTACATATGTAAAAACCATGCTTTCTCTAGTAATTATATGCTGGCTAGGGGCTTGTTGCATTGAAGGTTACGATTCCGTTCTCGTAAAGTGTGTCGTGAAAAGCGAAACACGGCTTTGGCTGAAAAACGTGGAAAGTATATTTTGAATGTGAGATATATTGACGTCGGACATTTCTCGCTTTGCTTCCTTTGCAACATTACTCCTTTTACATTTAGGCAAGGTCAAAATTCGTTCGTTGAAATTTGATGAAGAAGCCATTATCAATGAAATTGAAAGCGATGTGGTAAGTTTATGTTCTGTTTCTATGTCTTTAGATGATTCTTGGCTCGATGTTTTTCTTCAATCATATTTAGCAGATATAATCACTAACAACTTGATTTTCACGTTTGCTAGCGTCAGGAATACGTCTAAAGAGATATTGTGATAAAAGTCATCTCTTAAAAATCTATTGTATTTAATGATTGGTACTTAGGTGTGTGAAATGTAATCTTTGGAGTTATGTGCATAAACTATAGTTTTTGAGTGTGAGGTGCATGAAATATAGTGTTTGCCAGCTAATTGTGTGAATTATAGTGTTTATGAGTTAGATGCAGGAAGTATAGTGTTAGTGAGTTAGGGGGATTCATTATAATATATGTGATTTAGTGGCATAGACTATAACAGTCAGGAGTTATGTTCATGAACTCTAGTCTTATGGTGTTAAGTGCAGGAACTATAGTCTTTGGGAGTCAATGTAATATAATATGAAAGAAATGCACGAGATTTCATGACAAATTAAATTTGCTGATGCATTGTAACTTTGCATATCATTATTTCATATTTTCTCACATTGTAGATCCCACATGGATGGAGTTGTGAAAGTCCCTTTACCACCTCTCTCATTCACTTCAATTACTGTTACTAGTTTTTCATTGCTCATGTGTCATGGTGATTCATGGCCAAGAATGTTTATTTGTAGTTTGGATTCTTTGTGGATGTCAGTTGTTCGTTTTAGTTTCCTTTACTTCCATACTTCCCTCTTTACCCACACCCCTTAATATAATAGAGTACTTTGTTAACCCCCTAGTGGCTCGTCAGTACAACATTACGTAATTTTTATTTCAGTTGACGTATTCGTCGTGTTTTTTTAAAGGGAACTTTTCAAAGGAAGTTTGTGGAGTGGGGTCATCCTCCAGTTGGATGTTGCTCTCTAACTTTACCTCATTTATGCCATGTTATGTATTTGAGTTGTATACACGCCTATTGATCACTTTATATAAACATTAAATTGTTTTCTTTTCTTAAACCTAGAGGATGTGTTATGGTTTTAGGTGTTAACTGTGACATTGGAAAGTAATTAAAACTACGAATAGCTTCATCTAAGTTCCCCAAAATGGTTTACTACCTATCCCTACCCCCCTGTCTTTAAAAAAGGTGTTTCGTGAAAGCAGAAGGAGAGGAGGTTGGCGGAGCTTAGAAAATAGATGGAGAGCGACTAGACACGGGACCTTTGAAAATGCAATAAATTTCTATTGTTATTCATGGACGTTCGCGTCGCAGATGATGAAAACATTTACAGTTTCGAATTTTTAAAAAATCCATGTCAGCAAATAGTAAAGCAGCATATTTAATATTGTAGTTCCTGCGAGACAGAAAGACGTTGATGGTCAGCGGTAATATACAAGAACTTGAGGATAAAAATCACGAGGAATGCGATTTGTTTCATAAGTACATCAGCAACGATGATATTGTGGATGGCATCGTAAGAAGATGGTGGACGAGCTTACAGGAATGACTTACCATCCAGGTATACTTGCGATCAGACTTATGGCGCGTGCTAATATTTATATTACAAATAGGATATTGTGTCCCAATGATCCGTTTGTAACCTTTACGCAACGGAATTTGTAGCGTTGTTGGTGTAAATCATTCGTAACTTGAGTTGAATAACAAATCATATTCGTTCATTTAACCACGATTTTAAAATCTTTACTTTGGAGGAAAAATTGCGTTTTGAATCAAGTTCCAAAACATAGCAAAAAAATTTTTGCTGGAAAATTTCGAACACTCGTTCTGTATCGTCGAAGTCATTGAGACTTCAGTGTTTACTGCTGGCGTAACGGATTTCTTAGTCGCAATAACCTTATTTTCTTGCGCATTTGTTGAAAAATGATGCAGTTGTTTAAAAATAAGTGTGATTAATTAACATATTGTCACGTGACATCAAGTAGATATTTGCGCAGGTGCTTTTGTACGCTTAACACTTTGTGGTAAATGGTTTTTATCATACTGAATAAAATACACTGAAAGAAAATACGTCGAAGATTTCATAAACAGGAATTAACTTTATGTTTCAAATATATTTTGATTTGCGTTGTAAAGTCATCACTGCTTGCGCGCATTCCTCCGAAAGCCATCTTTGAGCAAGCAGTTCGCATTCTTTATTATTCACATCGTGAAGTTTCTCCAGCTCAGCTGAGCGACATAATTTCTTGGACAATGAAAGCGACTGCAATGGAGAGAAGCATTCTATGGTTAAATGCAACCAAGCAATAACTGTAAAGTCCAGATTTGTGCTACCTTCGTCGGCAACGCAGCCATGTATTTCATTCTGTTGTTAATTTCTTTTTTAATGGTGTTCTATGGTTTTCATTGGAAAATGTATTCAAATGCATTAATTATAGCCTTTTGATGAAAGTTTGGAACTATGATAAAATTCATTTCAAGGGGGTAGAATCCTAATTTTTGTAAAAGTTCTTTTTGATACGGAAAATGTCTTCAAATGCATGAATTACAATTCATGAAAATATGAAACTATGATAAAACTCATTTTCAGGGGTGGACTCGATTTTTTTAAAAAAAGTCTTTTGTGTGGAAAATGTGTTAAAATGCATGAATTATAGTCTTTTGACGAGAATATGGAAATATGATAAAATTCATTTTCAGGGGGGATGGACTCGATTTTTTTGTAAAAGTTCTTTTTGATAAGGAAAATGTGTTCAAATGCATGAATTATAGTCTTTGATGAAAACATGGAAATATGATGAAACTCACTTTCAGGGGGGGTGGAATCCCTATTTTTGTAAAAGTTCTTTTTGATAAGGAAAATGTCTTCAAATGCATGAATTACAATTCATGAAAATATGAAAATTTCATTTTTAGGAGAGGTGGTGGACTCAATTTTTTTGTAAAAGTTCTTTTTGATAAGGAAAATGTGTTCAAATGCATGAATTATAGTCTTGATGAAAATATTATAAAATTCATTTTCAGGGGGGTGGACTCAATTTTTTTGGAAAAAAACTTTTTGATGTGGAAAATGTGTTCAAATGGATTAATTATAGTCTTGATGAAAATATGGAAATATGATAAAACTCATTTTCAGGGGGGTAGAATCCTTATTTTTGTAAAAGTTCTTTTTGATAAGGAACATGTCTTCAAATGCATGAATTACAATTCATGAAAATATAAAAATATGTTAAAAGTCATTTTTAGGAGAGGGGGGTGGACTCGATTTTTTTCAAAAAAATCTTTTTGAAGAAGAAAATTTGTGAAAATTCATGAGTAATAATCTTTTGATGAAAATATGGAAATATGATAAAATTCATTTTCAGGGGGGATGGACTAGATTGTTTTTTAAAAAAATCTTTTTGATGTGGAAAATGTGTTAAAATGCATGAATTATAGTCTTTTAATGAAAACATGGAAATATGATGAAATTAAATTTCAGGGGGGGTGGAATCCCTATTTTTGTAAAAGTTCTTTTTGTTTGGGAAAATGTGTTCAAATGTATGAATTATAGTCTTTTGATGAAAATAGAAAAATATGTTAAAATTCATTTTCAGGGGGTGGAATCGATTTTTGTTTAAACAATCTTTTTGATGCGGAAAATATGTTAAAATGCATGAATTATAGTCTTTTGACGTGAATATGGAAATATGATAAAATTCGTTTTCAGGGGGGATGGACTCGATTTTTTTGTAAAAGTTTTTTTGATGTTTGAAAATGTGTTCAAATGCATTAATTATAGTCTTTTGACGAAAATATGGAAATATGATAAAATTCACTTTCAGGGGTGTGGAATCCCTATTTTTGTAAAAGTTCTTTTTGTTTTAGAAAATGTATGAATTATAGTCATTTGATGAAAATATAAAAATATGTTAAAATTCATTTTCAGTGGGGGTGGACTCGATTTTTTTTAAAAAATCTTTTTGTGTGGAAAATATGTTAAAATGCATGAATTATAGTCTTTTTCTGACAATATAAAAATATGATAAAATTCATTTTTCAGGGGGGGTGGAGTCGATTTCCTTAAAAAAAATCTTTCTGATGTGGAAAATGTGTTAAAATTCATGAAATATAGTCTTTGAAAATGATGAAATATGATAAAATTCTTTCAGGGGATGGAACGATTTTTTGTAAAAGCTCTTTTTGTTTTGTAAAATGTATGAATTATAGTCTTTTGATGAAAATATAAAAATATGTTAAAATTTTTTTTAGTGGGGTGGACTCGATTTCCTTGTAAAAAATCTTTGTTATGTAAAATTTCTTAAAATTCATGAGATATAGTCTTTTGGTGAAAATATGAAAATATGGTAAAATTCATTTTCAGGGGGGAAGGACTCGATTTTTTGTAAAAATCTTTTGATGTGGAAAATGTGTTAAAATGCATGAATTATAGTCTTTTAATGAAAACATGGAAATATGATGAAATTAAATTTCAGGGGGGGTGGAATCCCTATTTTTGTAAAAGTTCTTTTTGTTGTGGAAAATGTGTTCAAATGCATGAATTATAGTCTTTTGATAAAAATATGGAAATATGACAAAATTCGTTTTCAGGGGGGATGGACTCGATTTTTTTGTAAAAGTTCTTATTGATGTGGAATATGTGTTCAAATGCATTAATTATAGTCATTTTACGAAAATATGGAAATATGATAAAATCATCTTTCTCAGGGTGGAATCCTTATTTTTGTAAAAGTTCTTTTGTTTTGGAAAATGTATGAATTATAGTCTCTTTGATGAAAATATGAAAATATGATAAAATTCACTTTCAGGGGTGGACCTATTTTTGTAAAAGTTTTATATGCAATGTATTCAAATGCATGAATTGTAGTCTTTCTGAAAATATAAAATATGATAAAATTCATTTTCAGGGGTGGAGTAGATTTTTTATAAAAATCTTCTGATGTGGAAAATGTGTTAAAATTCATGAAATATAGTCTTTTGGGAAAATATGAAACTATGATATATCTCTTTTTCAGGGGGGATGGACACGATTTTTTTGTAAAAGTTCTTTTTGTTTTGGAAAATGTATGATTTATAGTCTTTTGATGAAAATATAAAAATATGTTAAAATTCATTTTCAGGGGGGTGGACTCGATTTTTTGTAAAAAATCTTTTTGACGTGGAAAATGTGTTAAAATGCATGAATTATAGTCTTTTAATGAAAACATGGAAATATGAGTCCATGAAAAATGCATGAAAAATCGAGTCCATCCCACCCTGAAAATGAATTTTATTATTTTTATATTTTCATCAAGATTATAATTTATGCATTTGAACACATTTTCCACAAAAAAAAGAACTTTTACAAAAATAGGAATTCCTGCCCCCTTGAAAATGAATTTTATCATATTTCCATATTTTCATCAAAAGGTTATAAACTTTTACAAAAAATTTAGGCCACCACCTTGAGTATGAATTTTATAATATTTTTATATTTTTATCAAGATTATAATTCATGCATTTAAACACATTTTCCACAACAAAAAGAATTTTTACAAAAGAAATGAGTCAACCCACCCCCCCATTTAAATCAATTTTATCATATTTTCATATTTTTACAAAAAG